CAGAGGCAAAAAGATTGAAAAACTGAGGTTACATGCAGTATACTAAATATGTTAACGTATCCTTGATTTTACCCAGATCACACTACTATGGAACAAATGAATAGGTATAGGCAAAGTTAAAAAAAAAAAAAGACAAACATGTAAAAAATAACTTTTAACAGAGAGAAAAAATGGACTATTACGTGAAGTAAGAAATTAGAAAGCAGAAACCCAGGTGTCTTCATAGGAAGATGTCTAAAAACAAAATTCAATTCCTACTGTATAACTAAAGAAAGGTTCAGGAATTAAGATCATGACTATGAAAGACAGGAATGCATGAGGGGTAAGAACTAGAGAAGTGATTAGAAATCTTACATGGTAAACAGACAGCTACATTGTGCAATGAGGTGTCCATGACTGGTTTACCCTATTTAAGATGCAAGACTATTCTTTGGTTCAGAGAAATGGAACCAGAGAGGTTTAGGGCCATGACCACGCAGAAGAATACAATGTAAAGAAACTGGGTCAAATATATGAAGAACAAGTGAAAAGCCTTTATATACGTTCAGGCCCCTATTGCTGCTTACCTCCAAAATGAAAATGGAGATTATTTTCAGACTGAGAAGATAGAGAGGAAAAAATTTCTGTGAAGATGTCCTATAATAAGGTAATTAGAAACTTATGTAGTAGTTTGGCATAACGGACACTATCTTGAGCCCTGCATTTGACTAGTGCCTTGTATTAGACCCAGGAGAATGGAAAAATATTTAGAGTACAATGCTCAACAAAGAAGCAGGATACAGATGTCACCAGAAATTAATGTAAAATTCTAGCTAAAATGTTTCCAACAGGATGTCTTTTTGTGGTTCTCTGTTTTAAAAGCTTTGTAACTTTCTAGTTCAGGGCCACTAGGTGAGACTGAAATAGGGGTCCATGCGGGTGGTCACTGAACTGAGCTAAATTCCAAATTATCAATTTGGCTGCTTGGATTCTTGTATTGTTAATGAACCCACTTCACTTAGCTGTAGGTTAAGTATGTAAAAAAGAAAAAGGAATGCTAAGCTCTTAGGTGACGCTGGTTACCAAGAAAAAAAGAGAACCATAATTAGGGAAAAGATGCTGGTTACCAAGAAAAAAAGAGAACCATAATTAGGGAAAAGATGCTGGTTACCAAGAAAAAAAGAGAACCATAATTAGGGAAGAAGATCTAAGAAGTGAAAGAGAATTCTAAGGGTAAGACTAAGGGGCTGAGGATTTAGCTCAGTGGCATAAGCGCCTGCCTGGCAAGCGTGAGGTTATGTGTTTGATCCCCGGTACCAAAAAGAAAAAAAAGAAAAAAAAAAAAAATCAAAGGGTCAGACCAAAATATCAAATGAAAAAGACCTCATGTTCTAAAATGATGGAGTAAAAATGTCTCTGTTTTTCTCACTATAAGCAAGGAATATAAACCACAGAAGTAACTGAAAATGCCAATTATAATGAATGATTTGACACTGACTAATAAATGATGACTGTACCAAGGGAAGAAGGATTTCAAGAGAAGCCAGCTGTTCATGTTACTCCTGGGCAGAGCTAATCATTATCAGTGTGAAAGATGCATCGTACCTAGAAGGTCAGAATTAACTCTTACTTTGAAATTTAGGAGTATAGATTGGTGACAGCAGACTTGATATCCCAAGATATCAGGGAAGCCAGGACTGAACATGAAAACATCCCAACACATTGTCTTTTCAAGATAAAGTCTGTTGAGTTGAAGGTATAATATTCAGAGTTAAGTAATATTTCAGAGCATATACATACTTGCACCCATAGATACTTTCTGAATGAAGAGAAACAAAGCCTAAATATACTTATTTATACAACCATGAAGAATAAAGGGATTCAAAATAAAGTAGAAATGAATTTTTATAGATCAACATTGGCAAAAATTTTTTTACAGACTTAACAAATACTTTAGACTTCATGGGCCAGAGACTCTGCCACAACTATTGAACTCAACTTTGCCATCCTAATGTGAAGGAAGAAGATATAAGTGATTGGGTATGGCTGTATTTCAATAAAACTTTATTTACAAAAACTAGTGGTTGGCCTACAGCATTGTTTGCTGAACTTTACCTCCAGTCATGATTAAAACATTCCTTTCTCTTCTTCAACATTATCCTCCTTAAAATAATAGGTCCAAGAAAAATTATTCAGTCAGCTATGTATGAGAAGGCCCCAGAATCAGATCTACAAGAAAGTATTACAAGAAGAGAAACAAAGAAAGAATAAAGAAAGGCAAAAATACAAGCTAAAATATTTATGAAGCATAGATGATTCTCTTGGCTAAACAGATATTACAATGAATTTATAAAAATTTAATGAAAATAGCATCTAAAATCCAGGGCCAAAAATAGAAATTTAAATGCATGAGGCAGAAACAATGAGAAAACAAAAAAAGGGTTAAAAGTTTACCAGTACAAACACATAACTGGAACCCCCCACCCCCGCCAAAAAAAACCAACAGTTGGCTGAAATGAACACTACTCTTCAAGTGGGAAAAACATAACTTTTACTACTGGAATTGTGGTATGGTAACCTATTATACAACAACAGGAAAATGGATAAATCAAACATTCTGATGCATTCCTGGGCATAAATCTCCAAGAACACCTCTCATCTAACCTATCTTACACACACACAAGAAATGAACAAAACAAGTAACTGTTAGCTAAAACCAGATTTGTGAGTGGGAATTAATTTGCATGCAAGGTGGAAGATAGATCTAACTTAAAAATGTCTAGGCCAAAAAAGAAAAAAAAAAAAAAAAAAGCAAGCACCTCATATATGAAGTATACACTTTGGGCCAATAATAAAGAAAAGAAACTTAATTGAGACTTCTATGAACTAAATGATACTGCCTTTTGGTATTCCCCCAAATCGTATGCAAATTATTCCCATTAAAAAAGTAACTTCAATTTAGGATAGCAAGATTTCCATGACATAGGATAAAAACAATTTGAATTCATAATCAGCAGTCATTAAGCCTGTGAAGAAGGAAGTACAAGTGAATCATCAAAACAAATTTAAACTCAGGAAGTTAAAACACTAGAAGGACAGAAAACAGAAGAGCTATCTATATACATGGTATTTTTTAAAACTCAAAGGATAGAAGCACAAAGCTAAACAAAAATAAAAATTATTGGCAATACCCAGAAACACATGAAGGGGGAAAAAAGGAGGATATAAAAACACAAAACTACAACCACTTTTTTTAATGGATAAGTTAAACAGATGAATAAATACAACTAGAGAAGGGACTGGTAAACTGAAATATATCATTGAAGTAATAATGACAAAGAAGGTAACACAGAGAGAGAGAGGTAGAAAATCACAGAGGTGAAGGAAATGAAAAAAGTATGAAGGAAAAATGAAAAAGTCTAGTATCTAATAGGAATCTTAGATATAGAATGTAAAGGAAGGGAAAAGCCCATATTGATGATTCTGGCCAAGAAGATAATAGAAGATGTAAATAAGATGACACAAAAAGTAATTCTGTACCAACAAATTGAAAAAAACAGATGAAACAGTATTAAATATAACGAATGAGTCAAACATTAACATGTGGTAAACTTAAAGATGCAGAAAAATTTAAATATTGTTAGATATTACTTTGTCAACTTTGTAAAAATTAATTTGAAAACTAAGATTAGGTGGATAATTTTCTGAAATACAAATTATTATCAAAATGCAAAAGGAGGCAAAAATACAGGAAAAAGATATAAAAAGAAAAACATTTCCCCCAAAACCACATGGTCCAAACAGTTCAATCGGTAAAGTCTACCAATTTTTAATACAAATGCTATCTAGGTGTTTTAAGGTATGAAAGAAAGATGCCAAATTCTACTTATGAAATAAGTATAACACTGATATCAAAGCCTTGAGAAGCTGAAACAATTATTCACATTCATAGCAAGCATGAAGATGAATCATTAAGAAATATATAAATGTCATCTATATACACGAGATGAAATAATAATCTTATCAGAAAACATTACTTTTAAGTACATAAACTTTAAAAATAACCATTATTGCAAAAAGTAGTCTAAAGAAGCTTTGAAAAATACAAGAAAAATATTTAACAGACAAAGTGCCAATCGCCTTACTGAGTCAAGAGCTCCTCTACTGAACTTAACAGAAGAAAAGGTAAAAGATGCAGTCATTTAAAAACAGATTTTAAGCATATGAAAAGATGCTTCCTTTCATTCATAATAAAGGAATGTAAATTCAAACTACATTGAAACCTGTCATATTGGCAAAGATCTTGAAAAATACTAACAGACTCTGTCGGCAGAAATTGTTGGTAGAAATATAAATTATTAGTCTTTGGAGGGTAAAATGAAATCAAATAAAAGTATATATGTATTTGAACATGCATGTTTTAGATATGTAAATGCATGTATACCCACACAGACCACACATACACATTATATACATATATGAAAAATATAAAGTGGAAGTTAAAGTCAGCACTGACTTTAAAATTTTTATTGAAATAAAAGAGTAGTAGTCACTGAAGTGTGACAGCAAAGATAAAAGTACAGTGGAAAGTATGACTATAATGCTAAGGCATTCGGAACAGAAGTAAGGAAAGTAGAAAGTACAGAACTATAATATCAACAAGTGTATTTGAACTGCCAATTCATGAATGTCTGAGTGCAAAAGAATCCTATTAAAAGGGTGGGCAGAGAGAATAAGGAAGCTAATAGAATTATTAATGAAATAATGTTGAAAATTTATTAGGAAAAGATGATAACTAACTCTCAGATATGAAGGACAACAAAACCTCTGAGTTCTGAGAAAAGAAGTTAAGAATAGTACTGAAAAACGGTATCTTATTTTTATAAAGAGATCACACCAACCATTGCTTCAAAAATCTACAGGCATTAGAAACTTGCCTTTGGAGAACATTTTCAATGAATCAGCCATTCATTGATTAAGCATTAGCAGGGTCCCGCTCCCTCCGTGCCCTTCCGGCTTACCTGGATAGTGTCTCCTTAGAACTTCTTCCTCTACCACCCATGGGTCTTCTTCTTGCTCCAACTTGAAAATCACATCAGGTTTGGTGAATGGATAGCCTAACAAAGGGAAATGACAGGGATTCGAGTGTATTTACCAGGAATCATGGTTGGCCCAGAGAAATGAGGCTTTCGGTGGGACCAAAAACAACGTTCTGGGAACGCCACCTGCTGAGATATACAGGAGGGCTTCTTGCTCTGCCAGCTACAACACGGATGGTCCCATGAGCCAAGGCATCTCAAGGCCAAGCTCATTTTAATATTTAAAAGTTCTGTGTATTTCAGAAACACTGGGAGGTGGGTTTTTTATTTCCAAAATTTGACTGGCAAGTGCGAGGTCGTGACTTTGATCCCTGGTACCAAAAACAGAAAAGAATTACATAGTGAACTACTCTTACCCACTGTGATTAAGTTGTTATAGTTTTCTAGCATAACATTCCGGTACAGGTTCCTCTGAGCAGGATCCAATTGCTTCCATTCCTCCTTGGTGAAGTCAATAGCCACATCTCTGAATGTTACTGTTTCCTGTAACAACACACTTCCATTCAACCCCAAGTAATCCAGCTGACACTATGTTGACAAAACATAAATGTGTTGAGCTAGGAGGAAGTCCCCAATACCTAATTCATAACTAATATTTTTAGGTATTTACTTTTGGTCTTAAGACCCTAAGAGCAGGAACATCCACTACCATCAAGGGTTTACAGAAAGCTGGCAGTGATGGAAAGTCATCACTTGGAATGCTTTCCGCTGAAAATCATGGCAAAAAAATACGTGTTTTGAAGAAGCCAAAAGTAAAGTATCACGGGAAGGAAAAAAAACCCCTGAAATCTAGAATGTTTGAAGAATTCCTTTACTTGGGAGGAAGGATCAAAATAAGACTAAAGACTTGGTGGGAGCTAAGGAGAAAAAAAAATGGCATGGAAAACTAATATAATGTTATAATGGTTTCAATCACAGTGAAGGACATGAGCACACAGGTTTTTTTTCTCTATGCAGTACTGGGGATTGAACCCAGGGCCTTCACACTGAGCTACATCCCCACCCTTTTATTTTTGGAGATAGGGTCTCACTAAGTCACTAAATTACCCAGGCTGGACTCAAACTTGTGATCCTCCTGCTTCAGCTTCTTAGGGTGCCAGAATTACAGGTGTGTGCCACAACATCCAGCTATAAAATACAATTTTGCTGGTCCTACCTTTGTGTCAAACTTTTCCTCAGTAAACTATTTTCTTCAGAAGGTCAGACATTACACTAGTAAATATATTTTTAAATTCAACATTATAGATTATAACAAAACAGACTGCACCAAAATCAAAAGTAAGAGAATCCAAGAAGAAATCATTAAAATAAATTTCAGGTAAATACTGATTTACTAAGTTAATAAATTTAGAAAACATGAAAGCAAAAATAATTTCAAAATGAGAAATCTAACTATTATATGCATAAATCTCCACAATTCCAATGTGCTTGAATAGTGAATTTGGCAAATATTTAATAACTTTAATGTACAAAAGTACATATTTAATAACTTTAATGTAGAAAAGTACATATCTAAAATTTTTTTAAAACTACTAAAACAAAGTGACATTAAAAGCGGTATCATCTAGGCATGTAATCGCAGAACTTGGGAGTCTGAGGCAGGAGGATTGCTGCAAATTCAAGACCAGCCTAGGGTACATAGTGAGTTCAAGGCCAGCCTTAATTATATAGCAAGGCCATGTCTCAAAAAATAAAAAACAAAAAAAAGTGATATGAATTTGTGGTTGAAATTTTTTGAATTGCAATAAAATATTTTAAAGGAAAACATTAAATACACATTGACCTTAAAACAAAGAAACAATCAAAGGAAGTCCCAAATAGTAGAATACTATAGCACATACCTTTATTCTCCTACTCCAGTATCTATTTTTTCTTTCTTCTCAATTTTTGGCCAGGCACACAGCTACTGAAACAGTTATCTTTATATGACAAAGTTTGAGACAGCCATATTGCACGCAGCTACTACTGACTGGTAAGTGAGATTAAAAGGACTGTTGTACCATTTCCCCTAACTTCTTCCTTCTCATAGCCTGGTCAGTAAATAAGATGCTAGGGCAAATAGCAGCCATTTGGGATGAAGCAGAGAGCATACTGAGAATGGTACAGCAATGGATCAAAAGGAATCTGGTTCCCTGATCCTTGAAAGGAACTTAAATGTCAACAAGAAACAAATAAACTTTAACCTGTTCAAGCAAGTGTTATCTGGGATTTCTAACACAGGTAGTCAACTACAATACCAACAGACAAACATCTGCAGGAGCCAGGCAGCACTACCTCTGTGGCTGCTCAGGTCCCCTTCAACTATCCGGTGAGTAGCACCACTGGCAAACAGGTTTTGGCTGTTTCAGCTTTGGTTCTACTGTTGAGTAAAACTAAGTATTACTCCCAGCCAGAATGAGCATGGAGAGAACTATTAGCATCCATACTGTTTCAACCCCATAGGGTCTTAGTCTAATAGGGAAGGTTTCATCAGCAATTCCCTGTTGACCTGAGGTCTTCTCACAGCTGCATGATGATCTGAGTTGGAGGCTGGGGATTTAGCTCAATGGCATAAGTGCCTGTCCGGCAAATACAAGGCAATGAGTTCAAACCCCAGTATCGGAAAAAAAAGAAGAAGAATGCAATTTTACTCCCTCAAATTTAGCTGAGATTCTTTTATTTAAATGAATTCATACTATGTTAAAAAGGTAAGTACAGAAAATACATCCAAGAAGGTTATCTTGGAGTGACTGGGAACTTTTGGGCACTATTAAGAGTAGGATTTTGGAATATCACTTTGTTTTTTTATTTTATTTTATTTTATTTTTTTGGATACCAAGGATCGAACTCATGACCTCGCACCTGCGAGGCAGGCACTTATGCCACTAAGCTAAATCCCCGGCCCTGGAATATCACTTTAGAAAACTTTTTAATGAGAATTGACCATATGTATCATCTATGACCCAGCCATGCATTTTTTCACATATATCAAAAAAAAATATGTACATGTATGCACAAAAGGACATCTACATGTAAGGTCGCATTAACAATATTTATAATTTCCCCAAAATAAAAAGCTAATGCCCCTTAATAGTAATATGAACCAATAAAATCTAGTTTAATCACATAGTGAGACATTATATAGCAAAGAGAGTAAATAAAACTACACACAGCAATTTAACATGGATAAACCTGACAAACATATGAAACCAAAGAAGCTAGATATAAGTACATAAATTACATAAAAGTAAAAGGCAGAAATAATCTATGTTGATGGAAGTTGAACAATTGTTCCCTTTGGGGTGAGGGTAAACTAGGAAGTACAGAAGAGGTCTTTTGGGATACTATGGTAAGAATTCCATTTCTTGATCTAGTGCTTTTGCTATTTACACAAATATGTTCACTTTGACAATTAACTGGGTGTGGTTGGCCAAAACTAGAGATAAAGAAAAGCTGGCACATAGAGACACACAGTCACAGAAGGATGTATAAGATATGATCAAAAACTACAGTGACTGCTTAGTTTGCTTGTTTTTTTAAAATTACAATAAAAGGTACATTCCCACTAATCACCCTCAAAATATTCTCCTTTGTTTCAAATACACCTACCCATGATTCTTGCCCTTTTTGAGATAATTCTAGAAGTTCTTTTTTATGATTATCTTTAGTTGTGGTATCATGGCTGCCTCAGTGTCCGAAGAGCCAGAAGTTGCAGGGTACCAGATATGGTAAATAAGGTAAGTCAGAACACCATAATGTTTTTATGAGCCTGCCTTTCCATTGCATGGTGTGCAATAGCAGCATTCACTATACTTTTAATTAAAACTTAAAGACACTCACAAAAGAGGACTTCCAGTACTGCTTCACAAAATAGCAAGAACAGTGGGAAAAGTGTGTTCAAAATAAAGGGGAGCATTTTGAGATTAGTTGGCAGCATGTCTGTGCTGTAATACGTTTTTTAAAATTTAAACATTCGACTTCCGGGAGAACATGGCAGACAAATAACACCAGCCACAGAGGCTCTCTGAGATTACCAGTTTAGAATCCAGGAGTGGTGCCGTGTGAGGAGTCCTACGTGAAGGGAGATGTACCCTGCCAACCCAGGAACGAACTAAGCTGAGAGAAACCAACTGGAAATGCAATCCTGATGCTGTAACAGGAACAGATAAAATCTCAGTGCGGAAGCTGGATCCCGCACCATTGGAAGCCGCAATTTGAATTTCCTGCTGCCGATACTATGTCCCAATCCGCACGGCAGGGAGAGAGACGCACAAAAGCTCTGAGAGGGGGAATTGGCGAACCAAACGGTGTTGAGAGTGGGACTGGCAGGGAGCCCTGCATCGACCTGCGGTGAAAGAAACGGGGACCCTTTCATAGACTAGGAGGCTCCAACAGAGGACATTCTGAACGAGCAGACTAGCCGGAACAGGGCCCTGCAGTGACTTCAGTCGCATATTCCCCTCTCAAGTGGGAGTGGTGGGGAGCGCTTGGCCTGGTGACGCCGCAGACTAAGATCCTGTAGGCTAGCCCAAATCAGGTCCCTGTGCCTGGCGGTGCACCCTAGCAGTGAAGCATTCAGTAGGCTGACCTGGAGGGGCGGGCCCAGTAGAGGCTGCCCAGGTCTGTGTCTCCCTAGTACACTGCAGTGGGCGGGAACACCGAGCCGGTGGGAACACCGAGCAGGCAGATTCAAACAAACTGTAACAGACAAAGAGAGAAAAAAAAAAAAACTGGGCCTCCTACATATGCTTGTATGGAAGGAAAAAAAGTATGGGAAAAGGGAGCAACAAGAAAGGGTCCTCAGTCCCCAAGCCTGAGAATACTGATGCAGGAAAGGTAAATGCAAAAGAGAATGAAGACAAAAAACATGCAATATCAAACACGGCACCTATAGATATAAAGCGGTATCTCCGGAGCCTGATAGATGAGTTCAAAAATGAAGCATTTAATGAAATAAAGCAAGAATAAGTAGAATAGTTAGAGAAATGTTAAGTACCACCCAGGAAAAAACAGGTGGTGGAATGGAAGAACAGAAAAAATGGGAGAATTGTTTGATGGAGAAAATAGAGAAAACATAGAATACGTGAAGCAGGTTCAAAGAGATTACCAGGAAACTAAAAACTCTATTGAAAGCTGGCATAACAGCTTGAAAGAAACTAAGGATAGATTATCAGAACTGGAGGACAGATTTGTAAGGTGGGAGCATGAAATGAAAAACTTCTTAAAAATAACAAGAAAAAAAAACAGTAATACTACAAAGATGAGAAGATGATAAGAGGATCTATAACTTAAGAATTAAGAACATAAAAGAAGAAGTAGGGACTCAAACAAATGAACTACAAAAGCTATTCACAGAAATAATCCAGGAGAATTTCCCTAATTTAGCAAAAGGTAAACATACTCAGATGTATGAGGTATACAGGACCCCAGCCACCTTACAACCCAACAGAGCTACACCCAGGCAAATAATAATCAAAATTCCAGAAATCCAATAGAAGAACAGAATATAAAAGCTGTCAAAGACAAGAAACAGATCACTTACAAGGGAACACCCATCAGAATTACAGCAGACTTCTCAGCACAAACCATCAAATCACGAAGAGCATGGGGGGAAATAATTCAAGCTTAATAATCTCCAGCCAAGATTGATATATCCTGCACAACTGTCCCTAGAAATTGATGGAAAAACAAGGTGCTTCCAGGATAAAGAGGAACTAAGGGAATTTGCAACCACCAATTCAACTCTACAGAGATTACTGCAGGATATTCTAAAAATGAAAAATATCAAGATTCCAGAAACAGTGGCAGAGAGGCCACAATGAATGGAGCAGAAAGCGAAATGAAGAGGACAAACTGACAACTAATGACAGAAAAAGAGCTCAACAGAAATGAGGCAGAGAAAGTTGGACGGTAGGAACAGCCATTTTGGAGAAAACAAGACATTATAATAGGTAGTGCTGATATAATATCCTCTTGTTTTGAAGTCCCATCAAGCTTTTGTTCTTCTGTCTCCATCGGTTTTTTTTTTTTAATTTTTATTTAAGGAGAAAAGAAAAGAAAGAAAAAAAAACAGTGAAGGGGTACAAGTTATACAGATTTACAGAATAAAAAAATGCACAGTAGGAAATCACTAGTTAATGGATTACATATTGCCATCTTAGAAATAATTGTTCAAGTCACAAAATTAAAGCTTGTAGAGTGGACTTTCCAACAATGATACTGCAAACAGTTCTGTTCAATGATCCAATAAAACTCTGTGATATCATTTTCTATCTTATACTTTTAAATATACATGCAGTTATATAGTTTAGAGCACTTTCTTTTCCTCTCTTTTGTACAGTGTCTATTACACATTTTGGGTTTCATTGCTCCCACGGTTCTTATTGCTTTTTTGGAAGAGAGTAAAACCAAATGTGACATATCAGAACAGAATCGGTCAAGTCAAAAGGGTGGACATAATAGATAATATAAAAACATAATACAAGGTGATCAACAATGGTTACCATAATGCCTCCCGCTATTTCTAATAGAATTGCCTATATCATTAGTTGTAATACAATTGAACTAAACCGTAAAGAATAAAACCGACAAAACCCAAACATTGGAGATATTGTAGGTCTTCAAAAGTAGATAAAAGTCAACGAGAATGGGCGTTATAATGAATCTCATTATCTTCTCAGCTGATGCCTAAACTTTCGAACCTGATACTATCCAGCAAAACAGAATAGAGGAACCTCAGTCAAAAACAAGATGGTGAGAGCAATACAGGGCTTCAAATCGAGATAATAGAAAGTCAAAGTGGGTTACTATATTATATCCTGCTATATTTTTCCCTTTAATTAAATGGATAAAAATAAAAAAGTAAATAATGGAGTGGAGATTGAGAAAAAAGAGGGCATAACAGCGAAACAGGGTAGATCAAAA